ATTTGTTTATTTACATAAAATTTCGGTGTGTTTATAAACATTGGTTTGTTTATTTATATTTTCAATGTTTATTTACATTCTTGGTTTGTTTATTTACATTTTCAATGTTTATTTACAAAATTTTTCGAAAATTTTCTATAATTTATTTAAAATACTTACCTTTACTTACCTTTATTACTTACCTTTTTATAATTGCTGTTTTTCGAATCATTTTTTAACATTTTTCTTAATTCTAAAAATACTTACCTCTACTTACCTTGCTTATACTTACCTTTTTTATTGCATTTTGATTGTTTTTCAACAGTTTTCTTAATTCTAAAGGAATAAGGATAACAGGAGTATAGGAACACAGGAATATTCAGGATTAAGGAACATGGATAATAGGAGTATAGGAACACAGGAATATTCAGGATTAAGGAACATAGATAATAGGAGTATAGGAACATAGGAATATTCAGGACTAAGGAACATGGATAATAGGAGTATAGGAACACAGGAATATTCAGGATTAAGGAACATAGATAATAGGAGTATAGGAACATAGGAATATTCAGGACTAAGGAACATGGATAATAGGAGTATAGGAACACAGGAATATTCAGGATTAAGGAACATAGATAATAGGAGTATAGGAACATAGGAATATTCAGGACTAAGGAACATGGATAATAGGAGTATAGGAACACAGGAATATTCAGGATTAAGGAACATAGATAACAGGAGTATAGAAACACAGGAATATTCAGGACTAAGGAACATGGATAATAGGAGTATAGGAACACAGGAATATACAGGACTAAGAAACATGAATAATAGGAGTATGGGAACACAAGATTAAGGAATATAAAAGATAGAAGGATAAGAACACAGGAATTTTTAGGATTAAGGAATATGGATAATAAGAAATATAGGAAACATAGGAATATATAGGATTAAGGAATATGGATAATGGAGGATAGGCACACAGGAAATTTTAGGATTAAGAAATATGGATGATGGAGGAAGGGCACATAGGAAATTTCAGGATTAAGGAATATGGAAAATAAGGAGTATAAGAAATTTTTAATATGCTAGCTGTATCTTGGCATTCTCTGTAAAAAAGTATTAAGGCATACACAGCAAAAAACTTATAGTTTAAAAAATATTCAAATTTAATTAAATATCTTTTAAACTAATGGTTTTTCACTATATATGGCTTAAAGCTTTTTTATAGAGGATATCGGGATACAACGATTCGTGCATTAAAAAATATACGATTCCATTTAAGGAAGTAAAATTGACGTCGATAACTTTTTTACGAGTCCAACTACGAAAAAACTGAGGTCACCAGAATATAGCCCTTTCGACGCCATTCAACTTTTATTCGAAACATTTTTTGATATTATTAAAAATAAACGAGATATTCAAGTAAAAAGGTTAAGTTTGAAATTCCCTGAGCGATAGAAAAATTTTTGTCCAAAAAGTCGACTTTGTATTAGGAGAACATGATACGATAGGAGGTCGATCGAAAAATTTTTCCAAGAAATGACGTCAAATTCTCGGAATCTCTAAAATTCTTGGAAATGAGGTCTAGTTCCTAGAATTTCTGAATTTCTTGGAAATGACGTCAAATTCCTGGAAATTTTCGATTGCTCGAACAATAGAACCATAC